AGCTTTAATTCATTTTGCTTCTTGTCTTATAAGAAACCTGAACTTTAAAGCACAATGGTATATAGCTTCCTTTGTAAAGGTGCTTCGCTTCCTGTGTGCCTTTCTACCTGACAGTGCTAATGTAAACCTGTTTTTATTTTTAAATCGACATCATGGTCCATTTACTGTGCTGTCTTTTCCCTCAGTGGTGAAATGCACTTACCGTATTTTTGGGAGTATAAGACGCACTGGAGTATAAGACACAGTTTAGTTTTTGGGGAGGAAAATAGGAAAAAAAAATTGCCTACTAGGTATTCATCTGGCTAGCGTCCTTAGTCTGGTCAGCTTCAGCACATTAGTTTGCTGGTTTTTATTCCCTGCTTGGGGATAAAAAACAGCTTCTAAAGCACAACTGATCTTTGGAGAGAGAAGCAATGAGAAAAGCAGGCGAAGCACGGAGATTGCTTCACTTGTTAGCTCCTCGTTAGGGCTGAAAAAAAGCTTCACAGCTGAGAGTTGGAGGGAGCAGGCAAAGCACGGAGTTCACTCTCTAGCGCCTCATTAGGGCTGAAAAAAAGCTTTGAAAAAGCTACATTCGGAGTATAAGATGCACCCAAATTTTCAGCCTCTTAGGAGGGAAAAAAGTGCGTCTTATACTTCCAAAAATACGGTACCTTCACCATCGGATCGGAAATGTGAGCTTGCGTGCTCCTCTTCTGCACATGCGCAGAGGGTCAAAAACAGGATGGGTGGGCGGAGCCTCCCGCCACTAGCCCTACCAGTTCGCGTGAGCCAGGTAGATCCGGCCGGATTTCACCGCTGTTTTCCCTCATCACTTTTTCAAGTGTGGATCATGTTAAATGCACTGGTACCTAGGATAATGAACTATATTATCTTGCATGGCAGGCTTGTTGACATGATCATGTAAAAGGATCCAGAAGTGAGTCTCCACCGCAAACTGTAGGACAGATAAACAGAATTTTATTTTGGTCATTGACCAATACGAATACAATCAATAAAATAAACAACACAAAGCTATCCCCTCACAACAAGAACTATTCAATCAGACCCCTCACGTCCTTGAATAATCTGTTTCAACTTCTCCCCTCATGACACTGCCAGAGGACATTGCATGCCATAAACAACTAGACACAAAGGCAGTTTTTCCTCATGCCATCACTCTGCTAAACACCTAATTCCCACAGTACTGTTTTAGGCCAAAAGATATTTACCCATGTAGTATGGCTGTATTGCTATTATCCTTGCATCTTCTCATCTTTCTCATTTCTCATCTTTTCTCATCTTCTCATTTTCCCTGCTATCTTCTCCGATTAGTATCTCATGATTTATCACTTCTTGTTTGTATCTTATGATTAATGATTGTAACTACAGTATGTTTTATTATCTATGACCTATCACTTTGATGTTTGTATGTACGCTGAGAGTTTATGCACCAGAGACAAATCCCTTGTGTATCCAATCACACGGCCAATAAAGAATATTCTATTCTATTCCATATTCTATTCTATTCCATTCCATTAGCAACCATTTGTAAGCAAAGTTTACAAACAACATACCAAACTTGCTAATTTTAGAGGAACAAGTTTATCCTGATTATTTAACATAAAGTGCAGATAAAAGCTATCAAATGTCCCTGCAGGTGACTCTAGATTTGCTAGCTGGAAGCAAGAGTGAAAGGGACTTTTGATTTGCTGATTTAATTTATTTACTAATTTGGGAGGGCTTTATTTATTTATTTATTTATTCAATTTATATACCGCCCTTCTCCTAGTGGACTCAGGGCGGTGCACAGCCAAAACTAAAATACATAACAATACAAAATTTAAAATTAATTAAAAGAATTATATACTTTGGCCCGAATTAAAACAATGTGAATTAAAACCCATTTACAGATTAAAACTAAACAATTAATAACCATTAAAAACTAAAAAAGGGGGCGGGGTTCACGCCAGCCCTGCTTGTTGGAAAAGAAGAGTTTTCAGGGCACGGCGAAAGACCCGGAGATCTGATATCCTTCTTATCTCCGGGGGCAAATCGTTCCAGAGGGCGGGAGCTGCCACAGAGAAGGCCCTCCCCCTGGGGGTCGCCAGCCAACATTGCCTGGCCGACGGCACCCTGAGGAGTCCCCCTCCCTGTTATATTATTTATTATAGTAAATGATAGCATTTGTAATGTGTCCCTACAAAGATATTAGGCCACATCCTGGACCAATCTATTTCTGTTGGAGTAAATTGCAAAACTACAATAGCTGTATAAAATTGGGTTTTATAGGAGCATGACCTTGGTTAGTTGATTTAAACGTTTTGTATTACGAAACCTCCTGCATTGACAAACAGTGGGAACTTGATGCAATTGTCTCATGATCTTTCACCTTTCCATGCGTTGTGTATATTTTATAACCAAAAAGTGTTTTCAGCAATCCAGCTGTCTTCCCCACCCAGGCTCTTCGCTAGTTTGCAGAAGCTACCTTCTGGTTTTATGGGATATAATACTTCTTGATTCCTAGTCAAAATTGTAAGGTTGTTTTTACTCCTGATGACCTTGTGGACAGTTCCATATTGTTTTCTCGACAAATGTTAATATCACTTTATAATGCCTTGATAAGGCCACACTTGGAAGACTGCATCCAGTTTTGGTCGCCACGATGTAAAAACAATGTGGAGACTCTAGAAAGAGTGCAGAGAAGAACAACAAAGATGATTAGGGGACTGGAGGCTAAAACATATAAAGAACGGTTTCAGGCACTGGGTATGTCTAGTTTAATGAAAAGAAGGACTAGGGGTGACATGATAGCAGTGTTCCAATATCTCAGGTGCTTCCACAAAGGGGCTTCCACAAAGATGAGGGAGTCAACCTATTCTCCAAAACACCTGAGGGAAGGACAAGAAGCAATGGATGGAAACTAATCAAGGAGAGAAGCAATTTAGAATTAAGGAGAAATCTCCTGACAGTTAGAACAATTAATCAGTGGAACAACTTGCCTCCAGAAGTTGTGAATGCTCCAACACTGGAAGTTTTTAAAAAGAGATTGGATAACCATTTGTCTGAAGGGTTGTGTAGGGTTTCCTGCCTAAGCAGGGGGTTAGACTGGAAGACCTCTAAGGTTCCTTCCAACTCTGTTATTCTACTCTACTCTACTCTACTCTACTCTACTCTACTCTACTCTACTCTACGCTTTCGTCTGTGTGTTTTTTTTTAAGTCTATCCTAGCGACCTAATATTTTCTGGGTCTCTCATTCTGTAGTTAGGCTATTAATTTAGTAGCTAGAGCAGTAAAGTGTACAATGTGCCAGAACACACAATTGTAGTTGATTGATTGTAGAGTGCTGGCTCGTGCATGAGGTAATCTACGCTATGATTGGTTGCTGTGGGTATAAAGGGGGGAGTTTTACCTCTGGATTTACCTCTTCATGTTCCTATGTTCCTGACTATCTTGTCCGCTGTAAATATAAATGTTACATATATTTATTTATATAAAGCTACAGGTTTTGTGTCAGTATCTCTGACTTTGTTTGGACTGTTGGCTGCGCAATTCCCTGACATGTTCAGATGTCCAGCCTCAGTTAGGTTTCAAGTCCAGTTGACTTTGATTTATGCTCTGTTTCTATAGAAACAAGCTTTTTCCATGCCAAAGTCATCAAATCAGCCTCCATAATTTTATTCCTGGATTTCATCCAGATAGGAGAAAAAAAAAATATAATCTCTACAACCAAATGCTTTGCTAATTTTTAAACCCCTGTGTTGGAATTATTTCCCCTAAATTTTGTAGTGTAGGTTGATGTGTTAGTACATGGCATTAAAACAGTTTTACTTCAAATTGGGGTTAATGTCTCATATTTCCTTTTCATGTTTCCTCATCCTGTCTAGTAATAATGCAAGCATCTAAATTACATGATTTTGTATTAGAAACAGATTCGATAATTTAATTGGATATACGGGCAAAGGGGAGTCTGATGCAAATATGCTGATGCTCTTCCAAATAAAAAAATTGAAATTAAATCATTTGATTACAAGTTAGTTTTAGGTATTTAAAGACTAATCTCTTTAGTGATACATTACCTCTCTCCCCTGTTAAGAAATTTGATTTACTTGATGCTTTATCCAAGATAATACCTACTAAAAAATTGATAATGTCTAACCTCTGATCATTCAGGCGAACTGTCATTTTTTTAACATATCCATTTGAAATTCAAGTCCCTTTATTGATTCCTTTAACAGATGCCAACTGAATAGCAACATAGGCATTATGGAGTCAAATATTAAAATGTTAAATGGGGAGCCAGCATGCAACTGCAAACTTTATTTACAAAATTATTTTTCTGAGGTACCTATGTGCCAGAAAGGCATTCATTGAAAATGAAAATGATATAAAAGTTTGCAGCCCAAAAACATGGCTAAGATGATATGAGGGAACTTTGCTAGTTTTCGTTTTGTTAAGTGGGACTTTTGTCTCACATTAATGACCATTTTCTGACAGAAGACATAGCTTCAGTGGTGGATTGCAAAAATTTTTATTACCGGTTCTGTGGGTGTGGCTTCGTGGGTGTGGCATGGCTTGGTAGGTGTGGCAGGGAAAGGATACTGTAAAATCTCCATTCCCACCCCACTCCGAGGGAAGGATACTGCAAATCCCCATTTCCTCCCAATCAGCTGGGACTTGAGAGGCAGAGAATAGATGGGGGCGGGCCTGTCAGAATTTTTACTACTGGTTCTCTGAACTCCTCAAAATTTCTGCTACCGGTTCTCCAGAACTGGTCAGAACCTGCTGAAACCCACCTCTGCATAGCTTCCATCTCAAAATTCCAGATGTGTTTATCAGTGCAGAAATGCTAGGAACTCTTGACTTGGAGACTGCTACTTCAAGCGCATTTGAATCTGTAATCAATGTAATTTTTTTTAATATAAGCTATTAGAAATGCAAATGTTCTTTGGTTCATTGTCAGCTGTATTGTGGTGGAATCTACCTAGCTGAGCTTTGTTTCTCTTTCTCCTACATTCAGGTTCAAGGGGGGCAAGATGGCAGCCTCTACTTCATCATCATCAGCTGGTGGAGTGAGTGGAAGTTCTATGACTGGATCTGGATTTAGTGTCTCAGATCTTGCCACGCCACAGAAAGCCCTCTTTACATATCCTAAAGGAGCTGGAGAAATGTTAGAAGGTAAAAGTGTTCTGCATTATTTTGGTTTGTAAGTCACGATAGTACAGTGCTGAATACTATGGCTGATTTTTAATTTTAGTGTGTTAAATGAATGATAGTGGCCCAGTTGATAATTAAAAATGGGTGGATTTGTGCAATGTTCTAAGCCCAAACTAATCAGAAATTACTATTACCTATAAACTGAATCTTCCTTCCTTCCTTCCTTCCTTCCTTCCTTCCTTCCTTCCTTCCTTCCCTCCCTCCCTCCCTCCCTCCTTCCCTCCCTTTCTCTCCCTCTCCCTCTCTTTCTTTCTTTCTCTCACTCTTTCTCTATCCGTGTGTGTTTGTGTGTACTTGCACATATCTTTCATGCAAAGGCTACTATGGAACATTTGAGACCAGACTGATCCATCTTCTGAATTAGGTCCATGTGAAGAAAGTAAGTACTTGGCCTAAGCAGAAGGAAGCCAATAAGCAAAAGGAGGTCACTCACCTCAGAAATGTTGGCACCACAAACAATCTGATAGGGCAGTAAAACAAAATAATAAAATGGGCAGTGTCTTTGGGATATTGAAGTGGCGTCCATAGTTATTTGAGAGGGAAGAGGAAAGAGAACTGTTGTGGCCCGCCAGCGGTCATCAGAGCTGGCAGCAGATTTGGACAGTGAGGGGGTTGGGGAGGAACATGGGCCAGTCCTGGAGTCTGGGGAAGGCTCTGGTGAGGGCTCTGCATCTGGTGCTTTGGAAAATAGGGTGACCCCCTCTTCTTTGTGGCAGCCCCTTCAACATTGGAACACTGCTAGTCTCTCTTAGTCCTTCTTTTCACTAGACTAGACAAACCCAATTCCTGCAACCGTTCTTCATATCTTTTAGCCTTCAATCCTCTAACCGTCTTTGTTGCTCTTCTTTCATACACCAGTTTGTGGATTTCCATTCTTATCAGCTATGTGTCAGGAATGATGAGCATAAAACTTAACTACATCTGGAGGGAATTAGATTGCCTTCCCTACTTCGATTGGATGAAGGATACGAGCCGTCTACCTTTATTGCAAAAGAATAAATAAACAGGGGCTCTTCTGTTAGGTAGGTCTGATATGCCAGGTGTGATTCACTCTGTGAAAAGATAACTAAGCCTCCGTCCCCCATGGGCTGCTAGCCTTAACTTGCATACAATGAAGTGTTGCAACTAAAATTAAAATCCCTAATGGGCCAGATAGTAAACCCCATAATTTCTAACCAGTGTAGCCATTGGCTATAAGTGGCTCAGAATGCCAAGCTGTGTAATGTAAAAGATCTGGAGGGTACCAGGCGGAAGGGCTGGTGTCAGTTTCACTTGGCTGGTACTCTATAACTGCCTTGGCTTTTTGTGTAAACACAATGCTGATTAATGGTGATTTCCTTTCATTGTTTTGCCATGGCTGATAAGAAAGAGAACCAGCTAAGAAAAACTATCTTCTTCATGATGGCGTAGATATTTGCCCAGTACTCATTGGTGATACTATTTCAATGCAAAGAGAAGGGCATTTCCAAATTTCAAGCATGTTAACTTTGCATTTTCTCTCTAATTAGGACTGGGATGGAATCTATATGCTGTTTTTGCCATTAGTGTGACTTTATTTTTTAATACACTGTGCCTTTATTTGAAGGATACCGTTATTTTTCCCCAAAAATAAGACCCTGTCTTATATTTTTTTCTGAACCCCGAAATAAGCGCTTGGCCTTATTTTTGGGGAGGTCTTATTATTTTGGGGCGCATGGAGCAAGATGGGGCTCCTCTTGCTGTCTTACCTGATTTCCAGTTCTGGGTTGGTTGGTTTGTTTGTTTGTTTGTTTGTTTGTTTGTTTATTTATTTATTTATTTATTTATTTATTTATTTATTTTAATTTCTATACCGCCCTACTCCCGAAGGACTCAGGGCGGTGTACAGCCATGAAATAAAACACATAAATATACAAAATTTAAAATCGAATAAAAATGAATTAAATAAATTTGGCTGAATTAATACCCATAATTTAAAATACCCATAATTTTAAAATACATTAAAAATTTAAAATTTACATTTAAAAGGGAGAAGATTTAGGCGAGGCCCGCTTGATGAAATAAAAGCGTCTTCAACTCGCGGCGGAAGGTGCGCAGATCCGGGATCCTCCGTATCTCTGGGGGGAGCTCATTCCAGATCGTCGGTGCCCCCACAGAGAAGGCTCTCCCCCTAGGGGCCGACAGCCGACATTGTTTGGCCGACGGCACCTGGAGGAGCCCTTCTCTGTGGGAGCGTACTGGTCGGTGGGAGGCTGTTGGTGGTAGTAGGCGGTCCCGTAGATAACCAGGCGAGGTTTAAATATTTTTGGGGAGGGTTTATTTTCAGGGAGGGCTTATTTTAAGGGGGAGGCTTATTTTAGTGCATGCACTCAAAAGCCTGATTGGGCTTATTATCAGGGGATGTCTGATTTTCGGGTAAACAGGGTACATACTGGATAAAGCTAAACTTCATTTTAAATATAGTTCGGACATAGTAATGGGGCCTAGTTGTTATTCCATTCTGCAGGTTCTGGGCTTACCTTCCTGTGTGTGTGTATGTGTGTGTGTGTGTGTGTGTGTGTGCTAAATTACAGGTAGTCCTCGACTTACAACAGTTCATTTAATGACCATTCAAAGTTACAACAAAAATGAATTTACGACCAATTTTCACAGTTACAACCTTTGCAGCATCCCCATGGTCATGTGATCAAAATTGGGATGCTTGGCAACTGGTTCACATTTGCGACCATTGCTGTGTCCCAAGGTCAGGTGATCATCCCCTTTTGCGACCTTCTGATAGGCAAAGTCACTGGGAAAGCCAGATTCACTTTTAACAACCGGGTGACTTAACTTACCAACTGCAGTGATTCACTCAACAGCTGTGGCAAGAAAGGTCGCAAAAGGGGGCAAAACTCGCCGAACCAAATGGTCTCACTTAGCCACAAAAATTTTAGCCTCTGCTGTGGTCATAAGTCGAGGACTACCTGTACTCCAATCAATGGCTTAATCCTGGCTGGAGTTATAAAGCTGCTGTGGTGCCTATCTTGGGAAACTTACCTGTGGAGACACTTAAAAGAACGATGGAGCTGATGACCTATTCATCCAATGCAGAAAATTCAGCTGGAATTCTACCAGCGCTTACTGTACTGTGTCTGATCCTGTAGGACAATGTTTCTCAACCTTGGAAGCTTGAAGATGGGTGGACTTCAACTCCCAGAATCCCCCAGCCAGCACTGGGGGATTCTGGGAGTTGAAGTCCACCCATCATCAAGCTACCAAGGTTGAGAAACACTGCTATAAGAGGACCCAGCAGGGGAGATTTGACCAGAATAAGTATTACGGAATTGTATCAATAGCTATTGTTGTATCTGCCGTGCCTTACCTCAGTGTGGTGAGAGCTTGTGGTCCAACTGCTTTGGAAACAGTTCATCTAGTTTTGAAAAAAACAGTTATGTGGCAACGAAGAATACCGATTGAGAAAGAAAAGTTCAAAGCAATCTGTAGAAAATTAGCAGCACAATTCTTTGGACCTTGGCCTTGAACTCTCTTTTTTACTTCTGCCAGTAGCTTTTTTCCAAAGTGGTGATATGTAGGTTGTTTTGTTTTTTTTTCCCCCTTGCATCAGGATTAAAGTGATGATTATTTCACCTTCAGGTTAATAGGTGTGTTTATTCGTATAAGAGTTTCATTAGTCTGGGAAGTATAATTAGCTATTTAGTGCCAGTTGCAGGATGGCAGGTTGCGGTTGCTAGACATGCTGTGGAAAATTCCAGGTTATGTCATATCTGCAAAAAATCTTAACTCTTCAGAGTATTTAATTACAGGGTTCGTTCTGCATGGATATACATCTGAGAAATTGCAAGACTGTTTTTGGTGAGCGGCATGCATGAGTGTGATTTTTTTTTTTAAGCAAACAAGGAAGTAGGTTCAAAGAAGAAAAAATGTTAGCTGACTTACTGAAACAAGTTGTTCTTTGTTGTGAGCAGTAGCTTTTCTTGGATTGGAAATGCACACTTGAATTTGAACTCTTCTGGGTCCTTAAGTTGCATTCTTTTAATTTCTTTTAAAAGAAATTAAAAGACGCTTGCTCCTGGGGAGGAAAGCTATGGCAAATCTAGACAGCATACTAAAAAGCAGAGACATCACCCTGCCAATAAAAGTGTGTATAGTCAAGGCTATGGTTTTCCCAGTTGCAATGTATGGCTGTGAAAGTTGGACCATAAAGAAGGCTGAGCGCCAAAGAATTGAGACCTTTGAACTATGGTGCTGGAGAAGACTCCTGCAAGTCCCTTGGACTGCAAGGCGATCCAACCGGTCAGTCCTAGAGGAGATCAACCCTGACTGCTCTTTAGAAGGCCAGATTCTGAAGATGAAACTCAAATACTTTGGCCACCTAATGAGAAGGAAGGACTCACTGGAGAAGAACCTAATGCTGGGAACGATTGAGGGCAAAAGAAGGGGACGACAGAGAATTAGGTGACTGAATGGAGTCACTGAAGCAGTAGGCGTGAGTTTAAATGGACTCCGGGGGATGGTAGAGGACAGAAAGACCTGGAGGAACGTTGTCCATCGGGTCGCGATGAGTTGGACACAACTTAGCAACTAACAACAACAACAAGCTGCATTTTGTACTACCAGTAGCATGTGATTGTGATGGGGATGCTGAGAGGGTGGGTAGAGCAAGGACTATTGTAACTTCAAACAGTCGCCAAAAGAATGGTTGTAAGTCAAGGACTACCTGTTTATCTATGGCGAGATTACATATGAGTTGAGCTCCAGCAGGACATCACTTTACTGTTAATCCAACCCAGTACGTAGTGTAGCTTCCTTACTCTAAAAAAAAAAAATCTGCATTCTAGATGGGACAAACAAGAATGTCTGTATTTTTGGTGAAAACTTCAAATAAACTGCAGGAAGACAAAAGACAATGGTTGCATGTTTGCCCTGGCCTACAGGTCAGATTTATTTTTCAAAGCACCAGAAGGTAAAACAAGAAACAATGG